ACAATTATATGATATTGTACCTTGTTTTACCACTACACATTGCACATTGTAACTCTACCACTACAACTGCATATTTTTTTTTTTTTTTTGAGATATATACAAGAGTTGTTACATTCTTCTAGAGCCACTAGTTTGCGTAGCGTTTCGGGCAGGTCCCTGGAATACGATCCCCGCCGCGAAGAATCGTTGTTACAACCAAGTACACATTTTACTGTTGAGTTAAACAGAGGTTACAGTTAAGGATTTGTGCCCAGTAAATCCTCCCCGGCCAGGATACGAACCCATGACATAGCGCTCGCGGAACGCCAGGCGAGTGTCTTACAACTGCACCACAGAGACTGTGGCTTCACTTGATATTCTAAACGGCTTTTTCCTTGAACATTTCCACTGCTGATGGATTTCCTTGTTATTTTTCCCTAGTGCTATGATTTTGTTTTGTGGAAGTAAATACCATTTTATATGCTTAAAGATGGTTTTATTTTAAAGTTAGGTATTGTTTGACTCGGTGCACAGCCATTTTGGGGTTGTCTCCAATAATGTAGCAAATGTTGCAGTTAAGGAAGGCCATTTATACCTGTCCTGCATCTTCAAGGCCCATCCTTTTTTTTTCCCCCCCTTTGTCAATCATAATACAGTGCCTGGCTCATAGCTGAAGTGGGCTTTGAGAGAGTACTTTCCATGCTTAGCCTGGGACCAGGTTTGACTTTTGATAACTTGGTCCAACAGGCTGTTGCTTCGTGCAGCCTACAGGTCACATATCCATTACAGCCAGGTTGGTCCAGCACTTCTTGCAGAAAGGTGTCTTTTTAGAAGTGTACCTTTGTTGTAGCAATATTTCTTATGCTTGCTTGTAACAATATTTCTTACGCTTGCTGGGAGCATATTGAATAGTCTTTGATGTTCATACAGTGTTCTTTGTGCCTATGTTACCTCTACTCCTCACTGGTTCTATTCTGCATTTCCTACAATATCATTCATTCCAGTATGTTGTTATTTCACTGTGCAAATTTGGCCCCTCCAGTATCTTCCATGTATGTAATGTGCAACCTCTCGTCTCCTTTCTAGAGAGTACATTTTGAGAGCTTTAAGATGTTTCCAATATTTTAGGTGCTTCATCATGTACCTACCTTCTAACCACCTGTTGGAAATTTTGAAAATCAATGTCCCTGGAGCTCGGTCTCTGACCGGGCCTTCTGATTGCTGGTGTGATTTACCAGGTTATCTTGAGATGATTTCGGGGCTTTTTAGTGTCCCCGCGGCCTGGTCCTCAACCAGGCCTCCACCCCCAGGAAGCAGCCCGTGACAGCTGACTAACACCCAGGTACCTATTTTACTGCGAGGTAACAGGGGCATAGGGTGAAAGAAACTCTGCCCATTGTTTCTCGCCGGCGCTTGGGATCGAACCCAGGACCACATGATCACAAGTCCAGCATGCTGTCTGCTCGGCCGACCGGCTCCCGGTCGTTCGATGTTGTACAATATCATGCTGTATATTTTCTCTGTACTCCATTTCGGCAATCTCTCCTGCTCTGAAAGGGCAAGTGAGTATCGTGCAGTAATTATGATGGCATAACACAAGATATTTCAATAGTATGAGCTTTGTGGTGGATTTCTTAGATATGAAGATTGTTATAATCTATCCTATCATTTTCCTGGCCGGCACTATTTGCTTGGTTATGCTCACTAAACATTTGGGCTAGAGACATCGTTATTCCCAGATCATTTATATGATGTGTTTCATCTATGAGTAGATCTGATTGTATCTTATACCCTGTATATTTTCATGTTTTTAATTTTTACCTAAGTACGTTGTACCTGTAATTTGTCACTTAAATTTTTTTTATTTTTCAATGCCCAATCAAAGATTTGGTTTCGGCTTATTTTGGAACGTCTTCTAGAGGAGTTATCATTCTGATTTTTGTATTTTTTGTATAGGATGACAAGATCTGCAACTTGTATTTTTGTCTCTATCTGAAATGAGAATGAGGAAGAGCAGTGATGCAAGGACTATGCCCTGAGGTGCAGAGCTTTTCCCTGACCTTGAACTTAATTTTATTTGACTTACATTGCATTCTGTTTGATGGGAAATGGAAAATCCATCACCATATTTTTACCCTATTAATATTAATCACATTTTATGGGCTATCACTCTTACGATCACATTGATCAGATGCCTTTGCATAGTCCGTGTATACCGCATCTACATTTTGTTTTCTTTTAAGTAATGCTTGTGATTGTTATAATGGTAATTGTGATATGTGCTTGATACCTGCATGATGGGGTTCTGGGAGCTGTTCTACTGCCCAAGCCCGGCCCGAGGCCAGGCTTGACTTGTGAGAGCTTGGTCCACCAGGCTGTTGCTTGGAGCGGCCCGCAGGCCCACATATACCTGGTTGATGGGGTTCTGGGAGTTGTTCTACTGCCCAAGCCCGGCCCGAGGCCAGGCATGACTTGTGAGAGCTTGGTCCACCAGGCTGTTGCTTGGAGCGGCCCGCAGGCCCACATATACCTGGTTGATGGGGTTCTGGGAGTTGTTCTACTGCCCAAGCCCGGCCCGAGGCCAGGCTTGACTTGTGAGAGTTTGGTCCACCAGGCTGTTGCTTGGAGCGGCCCGCAGGCCCACATATACCTGGTTGATGGGGTTCTGGGAGTTGTTCTACTGCCCAAGCCCGGCCCGAGGCCAGGCTTGACTTGTGAGAGTTTGGTCCACCAGGCTGTTGCTTGGAGCGGCCCGCAGGCCCACATATACCTGGTTGATGGGGTTCTGGGAGTTGTTCTACTGCCCAAGCCCGGCCCGAGGCCAGGCTTGACTTGTGAGAGCTTGGTCCACCAGGCTGTTGCTTGGAGCGGCCCGCAGGCCCACATATACCTGGTTGATGGGGTTCTGGGAGTTGTTCTACTGCCCAAGCCCGGCCCGAGGCCAGGCTTGGCTGGTGAGAGTTTGGTCCACCAGGCTGTTGCTTGGAGCGGCCCGCAGGGCCACATACCCACCACAGCCCGGCTGATCCGGCTGATGTGAAAGACGAGATCTTTCTGCTCTAAATCCACGTTGACCTGGGTTGTAAAGTTTGTTGTTTTCCATAAAACTGGAGGTTTGATTCCTAATCACTCAAAAATTTTGTGCGTGATGTTAATACAAGTGGGGTAAAGGTTTTAGCTAATGCTTTGCTACCTTTATTGTGTAGTTAAAACTGCTGATTTAAGTGCTTATGATATCTCTCCATATTGCATTGAGCGCTCGTGCTACTGGTACGTTATTTTTCTGTATTATTATAGAGATTCCAGGAGTTCGGACCTCAAGGCTGAGTACATGGGTATTTTGTAGATTTCTAATGGGATTTTGTCGATTTCCACAGTAAGTTATTGAACATTCAACCACAGAAGGTGAGAAGTGTTTCTACCAACGCTGAACAACAACATTTTATGCACGAGAGTTTGCACTGTCTCGCACCGACAATGTTCCTGTGGTCACCTTGCCCCAAAAGCCAAAGTTTCCTCTTTAACCTTCCTGCATTTTCTACCCAACACGTTATCTCGAGATGATTTCGGGGCTTAGCGTCCCCGCGGCCCGGTCCTCGACCAGGCCTCTTTTTTTGTTACACATCCCCAGGAAGCAGCCCGTAGCAGCTGTCTAACTCCCAGGTTCCTATTTCCTGCTAGGTAACAGGGGCATTAGGGTGAAAGAAACTTTTTGCCTATTTTTCTCTGCCTCCACCGGGGATCGAACCCGAAACCTCAGGACTACGAATCCGAAGCGCTGTCCACTCACCTGTCAGGCCCCTTGTATAAAATCCTCAGTCGTTTCAATACAGATGTTGTTGCTTAATTGGTACAGTCTCATAAATCATTTAATAACAAAGGCAATTTTCAAACTAACGAAGGAAATTTGGGGAATTAGAAGAAAGCATTTATGATTTACTTTTATTTTGTACAGTATATACTGCATGTGAAAATAGCACCATAGAAGACCCAGGAATAACACGGTAGCAGCGTTAAATAAATGTGAAGCCATATGTTAGAGTTGAACAGTAGAGTATATACATATTCTGGCTACGTGCTGAACACCTATAGTTCGTATGACGTAAATAAATAATAATAAATAGTATAGAAGCAGATTCAACCTAACCAGCAGGTCAAATAATGTAAGATTCAAAAAGATAAAACTTGAGTCCATACAAAAATGTCAACAATGTTTCAACAATAAATTTGTACTCTTAACATACAGGATATCACACGCTGCATAAATTGTCAATTAAAATGTCCTTCCAACAAAATACAGGCTTTAAAGATTGTTGACCAGACCACACACTAGACAGTGAAGGGACGACGACGTTTCGGTCCGTCCTGGACCATTCTCATCGACTTGAGAATGGTCCAGGACGGACCGAAACGTCGTCGTCCCTTCAACTTCTAGTGTGTGGTCTGGTCAACATACTTCAGCCACGTTATTGTGACTCATCGCCTGCTTATAAAGATTGCTCATTGTTAGCTTTATTGAGCAGATCATGTATACCAATTCAACAATATCTTTCCATCACAGTACAATATATGTAATTTGTAATTTGCAAATTCATATTTAACAACTTGAAGATGAGCAACTCTATATACAAATACGCAAACTTTGCTGCGGGTGCTTTTAACAGTGTGGGAGCAAAGTATTCCGAGCGCCACAGAAACCACTATAGACTGAGCATCACTGGATACTAGATTGAATCCACAGGAGAATTAAACTAACTCACAAGATACCACAGTCTAGGATCAGGGCAGATGTGAAAGGGAGGGAGAAGACTGGAACCAAGAAGCCAGATTCACGAAGCGGTTACACAAGCACTTACGAACCTGGGGGCCAGATTAACGAAGCAGTTACGCAAGCACTTACGAACGTGTACATCTTTCCTCAATCTTTGACGGCTTTGGTTACATTTATTAAACAGTTTACAAGCAGGAAAACTTGCCAATCAACTGTTGTTATTGTTATAAACAGCCTCCTGGTGCTTCGGAGCTCATTAACTGTTTAATAATTGTAAACAAAGTCGCCAAAGATTGAGAAAAGATGGACAGGTTCGTAAGTGCTGGCGTAACTGCTTTGTGAATCTGGCAGAGGTTACAAAGATGAGACTGGCAGCATGTGTCACAGTCGATGTTCAATGTTCATCATGGTTGTCGATGTTCAAAGTTGGTCACAAGTCATTAATGGCTGATGACTAGCGGACACGGGAGTGGAGGACATGCCAGAGGCGGGTGGCCAGGGACTGTCCAAGGGTGATGCGTTCGTCAGTGGGAATGGACTGACGCTTCACATTGGGTTTCCTGCAAATTAATAACGTTTATATACAGCATTTCACGATTACAAACATGAGGTTCAAATTTTGGCATAATAAATTATCGGTATTTAAAATACTTAAGTGGGAAACATTTATATGATTTTTGTTTGTAATTTATATATACATATGCTGATTTGACTAGTAGGGTATTTCCAGCAAGCTAATTTCTACTCTTCAGAATATGAACAATAGACATTGTGAATCAAATAAATGAAAAAGAGCTTTACGTATCCTTAAACCAGAAGAAAGTAAAGAAAGGATCACGCACCACTGACAACAGTTGTATGGAAAAATACGTTAAACAAAGAATTCTATCTACTTCAGATCAACATTAAGCATGTAAAGAAGTCTGTGAACACGCTATTACACAACAAGCGCTCATAATACAAAAACAAATATGTTGTAGAAAACTGGGCCTGTTAGTCCAGTACTTAGAATTCTAAGACAGGGAACAATTAACATGTTAAAAAGACTGGCTATTGTGCAACCCGTTCTCGCACTTCCTTAGTCATATTTTGCGTCTTTGATGGTGCTACATAGCCTTCCCGGTTTGGTGCCTTCTTTTGATAATTACTTACTTCCTTACAGTCAATATCGACTTATTTAATACGTGCATATGTGACATACTAAACATACTAGTTTACCTTGAAAAGCTTCATAGAAAACACCGACCTTACCTAACCTTCTTAGTATGTTAAGATAAGGATCTTATTGCCTTGTAATTACAATTATTACTTAACCTATACCTATAATAGGTTAAGTAAGGCTACAGACAGCAACACCTGCGAGTCACGTACGTTATTTACCTGCCATCAGGCCCGTAGTAGCCAGAGTCGCTGTCAGTAGGAGGCGAGAGAGGCTCATAGTCATGTGCAGAGCTAGAGAGAGGAGGGTTATACCTGCAAGGCAATTGAACACTTCAGGCGCTACGTAAGGAAATATTCCGACATGGGTGACTACAGGAAAACAATGCTGTGAATAGATTAATACATTATGCAGAGGGTCAAATAAACTAAAAATCAAACAAGAGTGCAGTACATATATTTTTTTTTACTAATCCAAGCAGCTACATATAAGATATTCTTTATGCCAAAGAGGGCAAGCCATACAAGACGGTGCAAATAGGAAAATTTAAGGTTAACTTCTGGAGTAGGCCAACGTACAAGCTCATACATAGGCAAATATACAAGAGGACATTTAAAGAATTTCTGACCAAGAGAGAATACATAAAAAAATAAATTGTAATTAAATATTTCTCTATTAATCATTTTCTGTATCTAATGTATAGGGTTATACTGTATTGAGTATGTGAAATTCAGTATAGAGTATAACCCTGTATAGTATTAATATACTCCAACTTCAATAGCAAATAGTTTCCATACTACAGGGATGCTGGAACATGATCCGCTAAGTATGCTACAACCTAATCAGCTGCAGACAAGGGTTCAATCCCAGCATATTGCATTAATATTTTCTCAGACTTATCACATTCTTGTAATTCCACTGTGCTAAAAAAGTAACTTGCTGAGAGTTGGGGGCCTAACCGTGCCACCAACCCTTCCAGTACTGTGCTAGGCTGGCACATCAGGGGCCAGATTCACAAAAGCACTTACAAACCTATACATCTTTTCTCAATCTTTGGCGGCTTTGTTTACAATTATTAAATAGTTAGTGAGCTCCGAAGCATCAGGAAGCTGTTTATAACAATAACAGTTGATTGGCAAGTTTTCATGCTTGTAAACTGTTTAATAAATGTAACCAAAGCCGTCAAAGATTGTGGAAAGATGGACACGTTCGTAAGTGCTTGCATAAGTGCTTTCGTGAATTTGGCCCCAGGTGTCCATGGAGATGGCAGTCACTAGTAACTTTTGATATTGGGATATAGGCCTCGGGTAAGATACCAGATCAAATCGGTCCGGTAAGATACCGGACCTGATTTGATTATACTGCACCATTTTCCCACAGCACAATCCACCAGCTCTTCTTTATATCTGGGTCCTCATTTATTACTGGGTATTTGCATAAAGGAATACTGCCCAAGTGTCCCATTCTGACTGGATAGGAACCCAGGTTCTCTCTCATGTGATGTGACCAATGAGTTTACTACAACAATGGAGGGTACTCCAACTCCCATATCCTCAGATACCATTGTCCCCCAAATACTCTTTTGTAAATATTCAATTTAATACTACCATACAGTACTTTGTTCAAGAGTACTGAAAGTGATTTGGAGTACAGCCATTAGGTAAAATATGCTCTTACCAACTATCAAAATTGGATCAACAATTTTCTGTGTTAATCCACTATTTAATTAACATCATTTTCCCAAAGAGCAAGGATGCCCTATTCCTTAAACATTTAGACTTTCATTATGTTCTACTGTGAATACTTAAACCATCTTGCCATTGAAATATTTGTATAAACCAATTGACAGACCATGCAAAGCTGGAGTGTAAAGGTATGCAGATAGCATCACGGTGCTTGACAAGCCAGCGGCGAGTAAAAGATGTGCTTGTATTAGTATTAGGACTGGAGGGTCATGGAATCACTATTGGCCAAGTTTAAAGTATCAGGTTCATCCCATTTGTAAAATTGAAAACAATATTAGGACTGGAGGATCATGGAATCACTATTGGCCAAGTTTAAAGTATCAGGTTCATCCCATTTGTAAAATTGAAAACAATATTAGGACTGGAGGGTCATGTAATCACTATTGGCCAAGTTTAAAGTATCAGGTTCATCCCATTTGTAAAATTGAAAACAATATTAGGACTGGAGGGTCATGTAATCACTATTGGCCAAGTTTAAAGTATTAGGTTCATCCCATTTGTAAAATTGAAAACAATATTAGGACTGGAGGGTCATGTAATCACTATTGGCCAAGTTTAAAGTATTAGGTTCATCCCATTTGTAAAATTGAAAACAATATTAGGACTGGAGGGTCATGTAATCACTATTGGCCAAGTTTAAAGTATCAGGTTCATCCCATTTGTAAAATTGAAAACAATATTAGGACTGGAGGATCATGGAATCACTATTGGCCAAGTTTAAAGTATCAGGTTCATCCCATTTGTAAAATTGAAAATATTATTGGGAAAAATTATGCAGCTACTACATGCACCTTCGTGGCTAGTTATATTGTGTGTGTAGAGTATAAACATACCTGTTGGGGCGAGTTCTGCGACGAACATTGCTGTCAGTGTGTTGAGGAGGATAAGACACGGCGAAGTGGTTAGATGGAGACTCTGCAGACTGTCCTAACTGGACAGGTTGGGCAGACTGGATGGGCTTAGTGGATTGGATGAGCTGGCTGGACTGGAGTTGGGTCTGAGCTTGGGAGCTGCTGGGCTGGTATTCTTGCGTGTAGTAGTCATCATACTGGTAATATTCCTGTTTGATAAGCTTAACTGAAATGCACATTTACTGAAATACACATTTATTGCTTTCTAAATGGCCCTCTATAGAATCCCTAGTTAATCCAAAACCTTCAATATTGGTCATCTTCTTGAGGTTATCTTGAGATGATTTCGGGGCTTTAGTGTCCCCGCGGCCCGGTCCTCGACCAGGCCTCCACCCCCAGGAAGCAGCCCGTGACAGCTGTCTAACTCCCAGGTACCTATTTTACTGCTAGGTAACAGGGGCATAGAGAGAAAGAAACTCTGCCCATTGTTTCTCGCCGGCGCCCGGGATCGAACCCGGGACCACAGAATCACAAGTACAGCGTGTTGTCCACTCGGCCGACCGGCTCCTATCTTGTGTGCATTTGCTCTCATATTGGCATCCTCGTTCTCGCACTTTCGTATAGTCAATATTGACTTATTAAATAGGTGCATATGTGACATACTAATTTATTGTGAATATTTTAGTTTACCTTGAAGAGCTTCATAGAAAACACCGACCTTACCTAACCTTCTTAGTATGTTAAGATAAGCATCTTATTGCTTCTTAATTACAATTATTACTTGACCTATTATAGGTATAGGTTAAGTAATAACTGTAATTACAAAGCAATCAGATGCTTATCTTAACATACTAAGAAGGTTAGGTGAAGTCGGTGTTTTGTTGGTGTTTTCTATGAAGCTTTTCAAGGTAAACTAAAATATTCACAATAAATTAGTATGTCACATATGCACCTATTTAATAAGTCAATATTGACTGTAAGAAAGTGCGAGAACGGGTTGCGGCATCCTCAGTGATATTTAGTACCTATTGAATATCCAGCGACACTGATGGTGCTACATAAGTCTCCTCTGCTTGATGCTTTCTTTTAATAACTACTGATCCTTCCCTGGCTGCAACCCAACAGTTGACTAACTCCCAGATACCTATTTACTGCCAAGTGAACATAAGCATTAGGTGATAGGAAACGTGCCCAATGTTCCTATCACAAATCTTAACATCTCGATGAGTAGATGATTCTTTGGGACAAATGCTGTACCCCAATTGTTGAAATTTTTGTCTATCAAAACAGTATCTTATTATATACAGGAAATTCTCGAGAGAGAGAGAGAGAGAGAGAGACAGAGACAGAGAGAGACAGAGAGAGAGACAGAGACACAGAGACAGAGAGAGAGACAGAGAGAGACAGAGACAGAGAGAGAGAGACAGAGAGAGAGAGACAGAGACAGAGAGAGACAGAGAGAGAGAGAGAGAGAGAGACAGAGAGAGAGAGAGAGAGGAGAGAGAATGAGAATGAGAATAAATCATTCCTCTTTACACAGGTGGGTCTCGCCTGTGTCTCAGAACTAAGACATACTATTTCTAGTTCATCTAGTTCACCCAAGTACTATTCATTTCTAGTTCTATTTAGTTCACCCAAGTACTATATTACTGTATTTTGCCGGCAGATAGATTCAGACCAAAAATATGCATCCTAACAAAATGGTTATTTTGATTTATATGCACAAAATCATGTTTTTCCCCTTACAAAAATAAAAAATTATTTCAATAGATTTACATGAAACACTTAATAGTTTCTCAAAATATCCTTGTAAACTATTTATTTACAAGAAGGTACAATGGGTTTGTGAGCATTCATATGTCATAATGTATTGGTGTTTTTACATTCTTACAAAGCCACTAACACACAGCAATTTGGTTTGGGCAATTAGATGCATCTTATATGCTGCAAATATGGGGCCAGATTCACTAAGCAGTTATGCAAGCACTTACGAACCTGTCCATCTTTTCTCAATCTTTGGCGGCTTTGTTTACAATTATTAAACAGTTAATGAGCTCCGAAGCACCAGGAGGCTGTTTATAACAATAACAACAGTTGACTGGCAAGTTTTCCTGCTTGTAAACTGTTTAATAAATGTAACCAAAGCCGTCAAAGATTGAGGAAAGATGTACACGTTCGTAAGTGCTTGCGTAACTGCTTCGTGAATCTGGTACTTTTATATTTCAAGGAGGTTCAATCTAAAACTGATTTCTATGTTAAAATAAATGAGGTGAAGCAGTAAACTTACTTGTTGTTGAGGCTGGTGATTCCGCCTGTTGTCAGCTGGCTGGGGGCTGGCATTGTAGTAGTCGTAGTCATAGGGTGTGGGTGCAAAGTCAATGTCAATGCCTCCGCAGGTCTGGTCAACTCGCTCCAGCTTGCGGATGTCGACACCCAGGTGATGCATGATGGCGTATGCCCTCTGTAGCACTAGCGGCGATGGGTTCTTTTCACGTGTCAGCAGCCAGATGGATTCTGTATGGCGAGAGTTATGGGTCAGAGAGTTGACTTATCTTGATATGATTTCGGGGCTTTTTAGTGTCCCCGCGGCCCGGTCCTCGACCAGGCCTCCGCCCCCAGGAAGCAGCCCGTGACAGCTGACTAACACCCAGGTACCTATTTTACTGCTAGGTAACAGGGGCATAGGGTGAAAGAAACTCTGCCCATTGTTTCTCGCCCAACCCGTTCTCGCAAATTTAATAAGTCAATATTGACTTATTAAATATGTGCATAGGTGACATACTTAACATAATAGTTCCCCTTGAAAAGCTTCATAGAAAACACCGACCTTACCTAACCTACTTAGTATGTTAAGATAAGCATCTTATTGGTTCGTAATTACAATTATTACCTAACCTATACCTATAATAGGTTAAGTAACAATTGTAATTACGAAGCTATAAGATGCTTATTTTAACATACTAAGTAGGTTAGGTAAGGTCGGTGTTTTCTATGAAGCTTTTCAAGGGAAACTATTATGTTTAGTATGTCACCTATGCACGCAACTAATAAGTCAATATTGACTTATTAAATTTGCGAGAACGGGTTGTCTCGCCGGCGCGTGGGATCGAACCCGGTGACCACAGGATCACAAGCCCAGTGTGCTGTCCGCTCGGCCGACCGGCTCCCTGACTAAGTCAACTAAATTAGCTAGGTCAGTAGTTCGAGCTACACTTCTGTTTGGGTGCCAACTTGAAAGGAGGAAGAATTTGATTGAAAAAAAACTGAAGAAATGTCTCGCATTTGTACCAGTCGAGAAAGTGATAAAAAAAGAAAGATCAACCCGACCTCTCGAGTAATAAGTCGAGTTGTTGTAATTTAAGGTAACCAGCATTGTAGGCGATGAGTCACAATAACGGGGCTAAAGTATGTTAACCAGACCACACACTAGAAGGTGAAGGGACGACCACGTTTCGGTCCGTCCTGGACCATTCTCCTCGACTTGAGAATGGTCCAGGGGCCAGATTCACGAAAGCACTTACAAACCTGTACATCTTTTCTCAATCTTTGGCGGCTTTGTTTACAATTATTAAACAGTTAATGAGCTCGGAAGCACCAGGAGGCTGTTTATAACAATAACAACAGTTGAATGGCAAGTTTTCGTGATTGTAAACTGTTTAATAAATGTAACCAAAGCCGTCAAAGATTGAGGAAAGATGTACACGTTCGTAAGTGCTTGCATAGGTGCTTTCGTGAATCTGGCCCCTGGACCATTCTCAAGTCGAGGAGAATGGTCCAGGACGGACCGAAACGTGGTCGTCCCTTCACCTTCTAGTGTGTGGTCTGGTCAACGTGACCGGCACTTCAAATACAACCTTGCCAAAGAAAATGTGCATTGACGAGCACAGTTAGTTCATAACCGAGAGGTTCCACCTTCAATTCCTGCATTTAGACATGTTTCCGATCACCTAATGCCTCTTGTTCACCTATCAATAAATAGGTACCCAGGAGTCAGCCAATTGTTGTGGGTTGCATCCTGGGGAGGATCAGTTGTTGACCTTGGAGACCCTCAAGATGCCTAACAATACTTGTTCTTCACAACGGGAATCTTAAGTAGGTACACATCTCCCCCTCCTTCTCCCTCTTAAGTAGCTACACATCTCCTCCTCCTCCCTCTTAAGTAGCTACACATCTCCTCCTCCTCCCTCTTAAGTAGGTACACATCTCCACCTCCTCCCTCTTAAGTAGCTACACATCTCCTCCTCCTCCCTCTTGGAGACTCACCAGTCTTCTCCAGTAGACCGTTGGGGTCACACTTGTACTCGAGTGAGAAGCTCTCGTAGTCGGTGGCCAGCACCTGGAACTCGTCCTCCATAACTGTCATGAGGAAAAACATGTTAAATGGCTACTGTGGGTATGAGGAGCTTGCAACCCGTTCTCGCACTTTCGTATAGTCAATATTGACTTATTAAATATGTGCCTATGTGACATACTAAACATACTAGTTTACCTTGAAAAGCTTCATAGAAAACACCGACCTTACCTAACCTTCTTAGTATGTTAAGATAAGCATCTGATTGCTTCGTAATTACAATTATTACTTAACCTATACCTATAATGGGTTAAGAAAGTGCGAGAACGGAGATATATACAAGAGTTGTTACATGGTTGTAGAGCCACTAGTACGCGTAGCGTTTCGGGCAGGTCCCTGGAATACGATCCCCGCCGCGAAGACTCGTTGTTACAACCAAGTACACATTTTACTGTTGAGTTAAACAGAGGCTACAGTTAAGGATTTGTGCCCAGTAAATCCTCCCCGGCCAGGATACGAACCCAGGACATAGCGCTCGCGGAACGCCAGGCGAGTGTCTTACCACTGCACCACGGAGACTGATATAGATGGATATATATATATATATAATCTCTAAACATTGTCAACCACACTATATTCCTTCATCTGGGCACTAGGAGATTCGAACTGGCGACCCCATGCGCACGAGGCCCAACTAATCGCTGTGCTTGGGCATGGTTGATTAGGGCAGCGTCTGGGATTCTCTCGGACGCAGGTTCGAACCCTTGTCACGGCCCTTGTGGATTTGTTCAGTTGACAATTTAGATGACGTGGATCGCTAATTCCTCAGTACGTAGCAGCAGCAGCAGCAGCAGCAGCACTGGGGAATTATAACATTCCAATTGGGCGGAGGTTAGTTGCCTCTGAACTCTTTCCTTATTAATGTTAAGGACAGAAGAGCGACGGTCTCGCTTCATGCAGGTCGGCGTTCAATCCCCGACTGCCAAAGTGATTGGGGCACCGTTCCTTCCCACCGTCCCATCCCAAATCCTTATCCCTTCCCAGTGCTATATAGTCGTAATGACTTGGCGCTTTCCCTGACCATTTCCTCCCTGCCTCTTACTTCAAGGTACTAGGAACAAGGAAGAGTAGTACTCACAAGTAAGAGGAATAGTGTACTTTATGAGCGAGGGCTTGGCTGGGCCTTGTAAGGTCAGCTGGGAGTCGTATTCCTCTACTCGTCCAGTGCTGAAAGGTCAAACAGTTATAGAGTCATTCAAGGTCAATATCTAAGTCAAACAACCATAATAAAAACAATCAAATATTACTGTCAATGGGTCAATTATTATGATAAAAAACAATATTTTGATCATATTTGTCCATTTTAGCGAGACTTAATTACAACAGTATATGACAACTATTTTATCAATATAACAACAAGTGAAACATTTAAACAACAATTAATATCGTAATAAATCTTGCTATTACTGAAAGTAAATGAGAGACGCACATATCATATATAGCGCACAGGACTCGTAATTCTGTAGCGCGGGTTCGATTCCCGCACAAGGCAGAAACAAATGGGCAAAATTTCTTTCACCCTGAATGCCCCTGTTACCTAGCAGTAAATAGGTACCTGGGAGTTAGTCAGCTGTCACGGGCTGCTTCCTGGTGTGTGTGTGTGTGGTGTGGGAAAAAAAGTAGTTAGTAAACAGTTGAGAGGCGGGACCAAAGAGCTAAAGCTCAACCCCCGCAAGCACAACTAGGTGAATAAGTATGAAAGTAGCGGCACAGGGTCCGAGACCGACCGAAACGTCTCTCGTCCCTGGCATGTTTTGATTCGGTGTATTACACGTCATATGAAGCTTTATTATAATATACTGAAAAAAACAAGTTACTCGTATCCCAGCAAATATTATGTTAGTTTTAAACATTTTACATTATTACAATGTTTAGAAACGTTGTTGTTGTTGTTGTTAGGGGCAGCTACAGCACTGATCCTGTGGTTATGTTGTTGTTAGGGGGCAGCTACAGCACTGATCCTGTGGTTGTGTTGTTACGGGGCAGCTACAGCACTGATCCTGTGGTTGTGTTGTTACGGGGCAGCTACAGCACTGATCCTGTGGTTATGTTGTTGTTAGGGGCAGCTACAGCACTGATCCTGTGGTTATGTTGTTGTTAGGGGGCAGCTACAGCACTGATCCTGTGGTTATGTTGTTGTTAGGGGGCAGCTACAGCACTGATCCTGTGGTTATGTTGTTACGGGGCAGCTACAGCACTGATCCTGTGGTTATGTTGTTGTTAGGGGGCAGCTACAGCACTGATCCTGTGGTTATGTTGTTGTTAGGGGGCAGCTACAGCACTGATCCTGTGGTTATGTTGTTGTTAGGGGGCAGCTACAGCACTGATCCTGTGGTTATGTTGTTGTTAGGGGGCAGCTACAGCACTGATCCTGTGGTTATGTTGTTGTTAGGGGCAGCTACAGCACTGATCCTGTGGTTATGTTGTTGTTAGGGGCAGCTACAGCACTGATCCTGTGGTTATGTTGTTGTTAGGGGGCAGCTACAGCACTGATCCTGTGGTTATGTTGTTGTTAGGGGGCAGCTACAGCACTGATCCTGTGGTTATGTTGTTACGGGGCAGCTACAGCACTGATCCTGTGGTTATGTTGTTGTTAGGGGGCAGCTACAGCACTGATCCTGTGGTTATGTTGTTGTTAGGGGGCAGCTACAGCACTGATCCTGTGGTTATGTTGTTGTTACGGGGCAGCTACAGCACTGATCCTGTGGTTATGTTGTTGTTAGGGGCAGCTACAGCACTGATCCTGTGGTTATGTTGTTGTTAGGGGGCAGCTACAGCACTGATCCTGTGGTTATGTTGTTACGGGGCAGCTACAGCACTGATCCTGTGGTTATGTTGTTGTTAGGGGGCAGCTACAGCACTGATCCTGTGGTTATGTTGTTGTTAGGGGGCAGCTACAGCACTGATCCTGTGGTTATGTTGTTGTTAGGGGCAGCTACAGCACTGATCCTGTGGTTATGTTGTTGTTAGGGGCAGCTACAGCACTGATCCTGTGGTTATGTTGTTACGGGGCAGCTACAGCACTGATCCTGTGGTTATGTTGTTGTTACGGGGCAGCTACAGCACTGATCCTGTGGTTATGTTGTTACGGGGCAGCTACAGCACTGATCCTGTGGTTATGTTGTTACGGGGCAGCTACAGCACTGATCCTGTGGTTATGTTGTTGTTAGGGGCAGCTACAGCACTGATCCTGTGGTTATGTTGTTGTTAGGGGCAGCTACAGCACTGATCCTGTGGTTATGTTGTTGTTAGGGGCAGCTACAGCACTGATCCTGTGGTTATGTTGTTGTTAGGGGGCAGCTACAGCACTGATCCTGTGGTTATGTTGTTGTTAGGGGGCAGCTACAGCACTGATCCTGTGGTTATGTTGTTGTTACGGGGCAGCTACAGCACTGATCCTGTGGTTATGTTGTTGTTAGGGGGCAGCTACAGCACTGATCCTGTGGTTATGTTGTTGTTAGGGGGCAGCTACAGCACTGATCCTGTGGTTATGTTGTTGTTACGGGGCAGCTACAGCACTGATCCTGTGGTTATGTTGTTGTTAGGGGGCAGCTACAGCACTGATCCTGTGGTTATGTTGTTGTTAGGGGGCAGCTACAGCACTGATCCTGTGGTTATGTTGTTGTTAGGGGCAGCTACAGCACTGATCCTGTGGTTATGTTGTTGTTAGGGGGCAGCTACAGCACTGATCCTGTGGTTATGTTGTTGTTAGGGGGCAGCTACAGCACTGATCCTGTGGTTATGTTGTTGTTAGTGGGCAGCTACAGCACTGATCCTGTGGTTATGTTGTTGTTAGGGGGCAGCTACAGCACTGATCCTGTGGTTATGTTGTTACGGGGCAGCTACAGCACTGATCCTGTGGTTATGTTGTTGTTACGGGGCAGCTACAGCACTGATCCTGTGGTTATGTTGTTACGGGGCAGCTACAGCACTGATCCTGTGGTTATGTTGTTACGGGGCAGCTACAGCACTGATCCTGTGGTTATGTTGTTGTTAGGGGCAGCTACAGCACTGATCCTGTGGTTATGTTGTTACGGGGCAGCTACAGCACTGATCCTGTGGTTATGTTGTTAGGGGGCAGCTACAGCACTGATCCTGTGGTTATGTTGTTGTTAGGGGCAGCTACAGCACTGATCCTGTGGTTATGTTGTTGTTAGGGGCAGCTACAGCACTGATCCTGTGGTTATGTTGTTGTTAGGGGGCAGCTACAGCACTGATCCTGTGGTTATGTTGTTGTTACGGGGCAGCTACAGCACTGATCCTGTGGTTATGTTGTTAGGGGGCAGCTACAGCACTGATCCTGTGGTTATGTTGTTGTTAGGGGGCAGCTACAGCACTGATCCTGTGGTTATGTTGTTGTTAGGGGGCAGCTACAGCACTGATCCTGTGGTTATGTTGTTACGGGGCAGCTACAGCACTGATCCTGTGGTTATGTTGTTGTTAGGGGGCAGCTACAGCACTGATCCTGTGGTTATGTTGTTACGGGGCAGCTACAGCACTGATCCTGTGGTTATGTTGTTACGGGGCAGCTACAGCACTGATCCTGTGGTTATGTTGTTGTTACGGGGCAGCTACAGCACTGATCCTGTGGTTATGTTGTTGTTACGGGGCAGCTACAGCACTGATCCTGTGGTTATGTTGTTACGGGGCAGCTACAGCACTGATCCTGTGGTTATGTTGTTGTTACGGGGCAGCTACAGCACTGATCCTGTGGTTATGTTGTTGTTGGGCAGCTACAGCACTGATCCTGTGGTTGTGTTGTTACGGGGCAGCTACAGCACTGATCCTGTGGTTATGTTGTTACGGGGCAGCTACAGCACTGATCCTGTGGTTATGTTGTTACGGGGCAGCTACAGCACTGATCCTGTGGTTATGTTGTTACGGGGCAGCTACAGCACTGATCCTGTGGTTATGTTGTTGTTAGGGGGCAGCTACAGCACTGATCCTGTGGTTATGTGTTGTTGGGGCAGCTACAGCACTGATCCTGTGGTTGTGTTGTTACGGGGCAGCTACAGCACTGATCCTGTGGTTATGTTGTTGTTAGGGGGCAGCTACAGCACTGATCCTGTGGTTATGTTGTTGTTACGGGGCAGCTACACCACTGATCATGTGGTTATGTTGTTGTTAGGGGCAGCTACAGCACTGATCCTGTGGTTATGTTGTTGTTAGGGGGCAGCTACAGCACTGATCCTGTGGTTATGTTGTTAGGGGGCAGCTACAGCACTGATCCTGTGGTTATGTTGTTAGGGGGCAGCTACAGCACTGATCCTGTGGTTATGTTGTTGTTACGGGGCAGCTACAGCACTGATCCTGTGGTTATGTTGTTGTTAGGGGCAGCTACAGCACTGATCCTGTGGTTATGTTGTTGTTAGGGGGCAGCTACAGCACTGATCCTGTGGTTATGTTGTTACGGGGCAGCTACAGCACTGATCCTGTGGTTATGTTGTTACGGGGCAGCTACAGCACTGATCCTGTGGTTATGTTGTTACGGGGCAGCTACAGCACTGATCCTGTGGTTATGTTGTTAGGGGGCAGCTACAGCACTGATCCTGTGGTTGTGTTAGGGGGCAGCTACAGCACTGATCCTGTGGTTATGTTGTTGTTACGGGGCAGCTACAGCACTGATCCTGTGGTTATGTTGTTGTTACGGGGCAGCTACAGCACTGATCCTGTGGTTATGTTGTTACGGGGCAGCTACAGCACTGATCCTGTGGTTGTGTTGTTACGGGGCAGCTACAGCACTGATCCTGTGGTTGTGTTGTTACGGGGCAGCTACAGCACTGATCCTGTGGTTATGTTGCTACGGGGCAGCTACAGCACTGATCCTGTGGTTGTGTTACGGGGCAGCTACAGCACTGATCCTGTGGTTATGTTGTTACGGGGCAGCTACAGCACTGATCCTGTGGTTATGTTGTTACGGGGCAGCTACAGCACTGATCCTGCGGCTATATGTGCGTACTGGTATAGTAACAGAACTTAACGGATGCTGAGCAGATCCAAAACTACTTACATGGTAGACTTGAAGATCATCTTCATCTTAAACATGCCGTTCTTGCGGTCCCTGGAGTAAAGGGTCTTCCAGCACCTTCCAGGCGCCTCCCAGGACGCTTGTCGCTTGTCTTGCTGGTACCACAGGCCCATGTACTGTAAGTATAAGAACATAAGAACAAAGGTAACTGCAGGGAGGCCTATTGGTCCATACGAGGCAGCTCCTATTGGTCCATACGAGGCAGCTCCTATTGGTCCATACGAGGCAGCTGCTATTGGTCCATACGAGGGAGCTGCTATTGGTCCATACGAGGCAGCTGCTATTGGCTCATACGAGGCAGCTCCTATTGGTCCATACGAGGCAGCTGCTATTGGTCCATACGAGGCAGCTGCTATTGGTCCATACGAGGCAGCTCCTATTGGCCCATACGAGGCAGCTGCTATTGGTCCATACGAGGCAGCTGCTATTGGCCCATACGAGGCAGCTCCTATTGGCCCATACGAGGCAGCTGCTATTGGTCCATACGAGGCAGCTCCTATTGGTCCATACGAGGCAGCTCCTATCTATAACCACCCAATCCCTCTCATATTCATGTCCAACCCGCGCTTGAAACAATCGAGGGACCCCACCTCCACCACGTTACGCGGTAATTGGTTCCACAAATCAACAACCCTGTTACTGAACCAGTATTTACCCAAGTCTTTCCTAAATCTAAACTTGTCCAATTTATACCCATTGTTTCGTGTTCTGTCTTGTGTTGATACTTTTAATACCCCTATTAATATCCCCTTTGTTATGTCCATTCATCCACTTGTAGTACTGTTATATACCACTGTTATACCTCATGTGAGCTACAAGTATACTAATATAACTGTTTACCTGTTCCCAGCGCTACGAGGTCGTCTCGTCTTAACTGTTTAGTGAATATTAACTTAGGCTTCCATGATAAACACGGACTTAGCCCTCTATGTTTTATCTCACATTTTTTTAACTAAATTTCACTTAAATAATCTTAATATATGTAAGCAACAGCACTTTAAACAAAATCAGCATTGCAGAATTAAAACTACGGGATCACCATAGCCCGTGCTACTTGCCCCGCTCATGTGCCAGGTAAGTCCACTACGGGCTCACCATAGCCCGTGCTACTTGCCCCGCTCCTGTGCCAGGTAAGTCTACTACGGGCTCACCATAGCCCGTGCTACTTGCCCCGCTCCTGTGCCAGGTAAGTCCACTACGGGCTCACCATAGACCGTGCTACTTGCCCCGCTCCTGTGCCAGGTAAGTCCACTACGGGCTCACCATAGCCCGTGCTACTTGCCCCGCTCCTGTGCCAGGTAAGTCCACTACGGGCTCACCATAGCCCGTGCTACTTGCCCCGCTCCTGTGCCAGGTAAGTCCACTACGGGCTCACCATAGCCCGTGCTACTTGCCCCGCTCCTGTGCCAGGTAAGTCCACTACGGGCTCACCATAGCCCGTGCTACTTGCCCCGCTCCTGTGCCAGGTAAGTCCACTACGGGCTCACCATAGCCCGTGCTACTTGCCCCGCTCCTGTGCCAGGTAAGTCCACTACGGGCTCACCATAGCCCGTGCTACTTGCCCCGCTCCTGTGCCAGGTAAGTCCACTACGGGCTCACCATAGTCCGTGCTACTTGGAACTTGTTCAGAGTAGCTGAATCTATAACAGCATAGAGAGAGGGGTGGAAGGGGCGGGAAGGGAGAGCGCTCCAGCAGATGGGAGAGATGCGGTGACCTACATAAGGAGACAGTTGTGTTCACACAAGCAGCCTGTTGCTGCTGGCGCTCGGCACAACCGTAATGGCGCCAATTGAATTTGTAAACATGGCCTCCAATAGCGAATTTATATAATGGGGGAGACATCATCCACCATGTTTATGAGTTTATAGTTCATTATATCATGCAGGCAGGCGTCTGACAGCTGAGTGAAGAGCGCTTCGGATTCGTAGTCCTGAGGTTCCGGGTTCGATCCCCTAGGTGGAGACAAATGAGGCAGTGTTTCTTTCACCCTGATGCTCCTGTTCACCTAGCAGTAAATAGGTACCTGGGAGTTAGACAGCTGTCACTGGCTGCTTCCTGGAGATGTGTAAGTGGGGGGGGGGGGAGGGAGGGGAACAGTAGTTAGTAACAGTTGATTGACAGTTGAGAGGCGGGACCGAAGACCCAGAGCTCAACCCCCGCAAGCACAACTAGGTGAGTACACTACCAGTCACCTGAAGCCTAACAATCAAACTGGTCCACTTAGCCACATGTAAACAATCAAACTGGTCCACTTAGCCACATGTAAACAATCAAACTGGTCCACTTAGCCACATGTAAACAATCAAACTGGTCCACTTAGCCACATGTAAACAATCAAACTGGTCCACTTAGCCACATGTAAACAATCAAACTGGTCCACTTAGCCACACCAGACACGCACAAAGCAACGTACAAACCCACACAACCCGCCAAACCTATATATTCCGGTACATAGAAAAAACGTCAATTTTACGACGTTTTAACCGTTACCAACACATGAAATATTTTACCCATTGAGAGACCCCTCGGAGCACGTTTCACCTAATGCCTCTGTTCACCCAGTTTTAAATAGGTACCCCGGGAGTTAGACAACTTTACGGGGCTATTCATGCCCGTGCCACCTCTCGGGGTAGCTTAAACGTCATCAATCAATCAATTAGACTGTTGTGGGGTGTACGTCCTGTGGGAGGTCAGTATTACGGGGTTAGAGGTAACCTCAGTGGAGGCCAGATTCACGAATCAGTTACGCAAGCACTTACGAACCTGGGGTCCAGATTCAGGAAGCAGTTACGCAAGCACTTACGAACCAGGGGCCAGATTCACGAAGCAGTTACACAAGCACTTACGAACCTGTCCATCTTTTCTCAAACTTTGGCGGCTTTGTTTACAATTATTAAACAGTTAATGAGCTCGGAAGCACCAGGAGGCTGTTTATAACAATAACAACAGTTGATTGGCAAGTTTTCCTGCTTGTAAACTGTTTAATAAATGTAACCAAAGCCGTCAAAGATTGAGGAAAGATGTACACGTTCGTAAGTGCTTGCGTAACTGCTTCGTGAATCTGGCCCCAGGTTCGTAAGTGCTTACGTAACTTCTTCGTGAATCTGGCCCCAGGTTCGTAAGTGCTTGCGTAACTGCTTCGTGAATCTGGCCCCAGGTTCGTAAGTGCTTGCGTAACTGCTTCGTGAATCTGGCCCGTGGTTCGTAAGTGCTTGCGTAACTGCTTCGTGAATCTGGCCCGTGGTTCGTAAGTGCTTACGTAACTTCTTCGTGAATCTGGCCCCAGGTTCGTAAGTGCTTGCGTAACTGCTTCGTGAATCTGGCCCCAGGTTCGTAAGTGCTTGCGTAGCTGCTTCGTGAATCTGGCCCCAGGTTCGTAAATGCTTGCGTAGCTGCTTCGTGAATCTGGCCCCCCTAAAGTGTAAATATACTTTAATAATATATATATAAACAGGCTCCCTGTCCCCTCCACAAAAAACAGATTTGACGTATAAACAGGATTTAAAAAGAGCTGAAAATATCAACTACAAACGAATATGTTAAAACTTAAAATTAAATTGATAAAATTATAGATAATTTCATATTTAACAACCACAGGCTGGCGGCGACCCGGGGGAGGGGGGAAGGGGTTCGAATTTAAGGGAAGAAACCGTTAGGAGCCGTTAGGAACCGTTAGGAGCCGTTAAGAACCGTTAGGAGCCGTTAGGAGCCGTTAAGAACCGTTAGGAGCCGTTAAGAACCGTTAGGAGCCGTTAGGAACCGTTAGGAGCCGTTAAGAACCGTTAGGAGCCGTTAGGAACCGTTAGGAGCCGTTAAGAACCGTTAGGAGCCGTTAGGAACCGTTAGGAGCCGTTAAGAACCGTTAGGAGCCGTTAAGAACCGTTAGGAGCCTTTAGGAACCGTTAGGAGCCGTTAAGAACCGTTAGGAGCCGTTAAGAACCGTTAGGAGCCGTTAGGAACCGTTAGGAGCCGTTAAGAACCGTTAGGAGCCGTTAAGAACCGTTAGGAGCCGTTAAGAACCGTTAGGAACCGTTAGGAGCCGTTAAGAACCGTTAGGAACCGTTAGAAACCGTTAGGAGCCGTTAAGAACCGTTAGGAACCGTTAGGAGCCGTTAAGAACCGTTAGGAGCCGTTAGAAACCGTTAGGAGCCGTTAGGAACCGTTAAGAACCGTTAGGAGCCGTTAAGAACCGTTAGGAGCCATTAGGAGCCGTTAAGAACCGTTAGGAGCCGTTAGAAACCGTTAAGAACCGTTAAGAACCGTTAGGAGCCGTTAAGAACCGTTAGGAGCCGTTAAGAACCGTTAGGAACCGTTAAGAACCGTTTGAAACGGAACGAACCGTTTTTTATATATATTTTAAACCCGCGCGAGCAGTTACACCACCCCGCCTCGGGCGTACTGGCCTAATTGTGCTTGCGGGGGTTGAGCTCTGGCTCTTTGGTCCCGCCTCTCAACCGTCAATCAACTGGTGTACAGGTTCCTGAGCCTATTGGGCTCTATCATATCTACACTTGAAACTGTGTATGGAGTCAGCCTCCACCGTGTGTGTGTGTGTGTGTGTGTGTGTGTGTGTGTGTGTGTGTGTGTGTGTGTGTGTGTGTGTGTGTGTGTGTGTGTGTGAGTTCGCACACTTAAACTACAGACGATGAGTTAGGAGTATGGGGTGCACAATAAACCACTCACAGGATGAGTATGGGGTGCACAATAAACCACTCACAGGATGAGTATGGGGTGCACAATACACTACCACTCACAGGATGAGTATGGGGTGCACAATAACCACTCACAGGATGAGTATGGGGTGCACAATAAACCACTCACAGGATGAGTATGGGGTGCACAATAAACCACTCACAGGATGAGTATGGGGTGCACAATACACTACCACTCACAGGATGAGTATGGGGTGCACAATAACCACTCACAGGATGAGTATGGGGTGCACAATACACTACCACTCACAGGATGAGTATGGGGTGCACAATAAACCACTCACAGGATGAGTATGGGGTGCACAATACACTACCACTCACAGGATGAGTATGGGGTGCACAATAACCACTCACAGGATGAGTATGGGGTGCACAATAACCACTCACAGGATGAGTATGGGGT